AACGAGAAATGGATCCCTATGGTTTAAGAATTGAATTAACAATCATGGGACACTCCACCTTCAACTGTGGACTACGGATTACACTTGCTTTATCTGACCGATCTAGTATTTTCAATGATCCTTAGTTCAAGTAGAGGCTCATTAGTGGGTTACTAAAGCCTGATCAATGAGCCAAGGGGTCGCAATTCCAGTATGTGAATTTCAGGTCATCCCCTAGAAACGAATAAAGGTCACTAAGACCTTATGCGACCACAACTCTATAGCGTATAGGAATATATCTCGTACATGTATATGCTTTACCCTAAAAGGTGGATATCTGGTTTTTCCGAACAATCTATTGATATGCATGTCGTGTAATGGATCATAGATGAGGCTTTGGACACCGTCTCTATCGACCCACCATTACGAATAAGGGTCACACAGTCCCTCAGCTCATTCATTTAGGCATAAGCTTCGACTTCATCAAAGGATAATTTAGAATTCTTCTTGATTTGTTCTCTATACTTAGATACAGAGTTTTTCAACCGACTGGCCTAGATCGTTAAGTACAGTCTGGTATTAGCAAACATCGTTTGCATAGTATGGTCTACGATGTGTCACACTCTCATTAAGTTCATGTTCTACTTTATTGTTTTATTTTACAAGCACTCATAAGGTCTTTAAATGTCACATAAACCCAACACTATGACTACATATACGGGTTAGGTATGGCTGGACTTAGTCCCAAATAGTATTAGGGTCCAAAATTTGGACTCGTACTCGGACTAGAGGTTGAGTCAACTCGTTGGGTCTCGCGTCGGGTCTGTCCATTGTCACCCTTATTTGGGTCGACCTAGTTTGGACAATAAAACCAACATTCTATTTATATAAAAAATAAATAGACAATCACCTAGATTTTTCTATTTTTATTTTTAAATTAAAATATTATGAAGCTAGATTTTTTTGCCACCATGTCATGATTTCAAAATTCATATAGTAGATAACTACTTCAAAACATCAATTTATTTTTCATCACATCACAAACAACATCAAATACATGACAATTGGTAACCTAAGAGCAGAGAGCTAAGACCCATGTCAAAAACTAATATTCTTTTCCTACTCAACTCTAGATAGAGAGAGAGGAAACTCTCATTAAATAATGGTTGGAAACTCCACTTGAATGTTGAACAGACATTCAAACACGAAACCACGTCTCCATATTCACTTATTTTTACAGGAAAAGAGAAATTCATAATGCATTACCTCTAAAAAAATGTTATTTATAATGATCTTTAATGATTTGTTTTGAAAATTTGAAGGCCAGATCTAATGGATTCGGTCAATTCTCTAATCCAAATTGCTGATTTGCTAAAATAACCTATTTTTTAGGATGGACGATCTGGGTCATTGATCCGTTTTTTGAATACTTGAAGATAATACATCATTCAATAGGAAATATTTATTCTCCACCGTCTATTGCTTGGGAATAAAAAAATCCCTATATTGTACCATGCATGCCTCATAATATAGAGTGAGGTTTGTATAAGGTTTTTCCACCTTATACTATTGGAGTAAGGTGTGCCTCAAAACTATGTTGAAAATGCAGTTTTGGTGCCGCATAGCCTTGAGATGATTTAAAAATCTATTTTTACCCCCAATTATAAAATTTAAAGTTCTTGAAATAGTGGCGATCAAGCGGATCTATAAACACTTGAAAATCTTGAAAATGAATGGTCCATATAATATGTTAGAAGATAAACTACTTTTAGGACTAGAAATCTTCCCCCCACCCCTTCTTTTTTTTTTTTTTTTCCTTTATGTTTATGAATTTTGTGGTTAAAATAATTGATTTGAGGATTTTCTAGAATAAGAACAACCTTCACTAGTAGATTGTTTAGGTGCACCTTATCGGTACAGTATAAGGTTAAGACCTTATATTAACATTTTCCTGTAATATATCCTTAGTGTTTGGTTTAGCTTTTCAACAGTTTTGTACGCCATTGTTCGTTACATAAACATGAACATCTATGTCAGTGCTTGATATTGTTTAAAATGCTAATCTCAAAAATTGGGCTTTCAGACCCAAAATAATTGTACACCATTTTAACAGGGGTTAGGTAGAATTACAACACGGAATTTAGACATCTCTTGTTTCTTTTTTGTCGAACTTTTTTTCTATACGGTCTTTCTACGAAAAACTTCAGAAATTTGAAAATCCAAGGTTGTTCCTTAATTAGAAGAACTTTGGATTTTGAAAATCCAAGGTTTTTTGTCCTCAATGTTTCCAGGTATTTTTATTTCTCAATGACATTTTAAGAGACTTTGATGTACTGTGGACTCTTGAAAACCGAATTATAGGTTTTTTTATCCTTTTAGGAAAATAGTGAACATATTGGGTATGAGTGTAGTAATGTATATGTTAAAAAGGAGAATTATGAAATAGCAATACTTTAGATAGATTTGCTCGTTAATTACTTTATTAAAAGTGGATGAGGTCTATAAGGTGTAGGCTTTATGAAAATAAAATACAGCATTGCTTCAAATTCTCGTATGGTTACTTTTGGCAACATAAATCTCCATGATGGTTCTAATATCAATTTCCAACACTGATAAGGGAATTCGAAACTCAAAAAATAATACTGATTTTATGGATTTATAAAACTTATTTTTTAGAGTGAAATGGATGGTCTAAATAATTTATTATAGTGCAAACTTTTTTTAGAGTTTGAAATCTTTTTTTTACTACTATGTTCAAGCCAAAATGATCCATATAAAGAATTTCTAATGCTTGAATTCCAATTTTTAATGGGTTATTAAGTGAGGCTGTACTAATTTTAATAGGTCTGCAGCCCTATCAAACCATTTTCCTTTCCCTAAATTAAGATCCTTAGAACTTAGACAGTGCCACGTGGCAAGGAACTATATCATGTCGACTAGGAGTCTTCTCTCTAGGTTCAATGTAGATAAAACTCCCATTTCCACTTCTGGCAAATTTCCTGACCTCTTTTAAGAGGAGTTACTCTTCAAAAGCTGGAGTCCTTATATAAGGCAACACATAACCAGTGTCAACTTCTTAAGTAACTCCCTACTCAAACAATGGAGTTTTCAGTGTCTTTGCTTTGGAATTCAGTTCGAAAGAGAAGGGTCAGGGCTAGGGTTTTGGAAGAGCAAAGGGTGAGGCTCTACATAATCCGACGGTGCTTGATCATGCTCTTGTGTTGGAGGGACAGTCGAGATTAAAGGCACGTATGCTTCTCCCTGTATATGTATGCTTATATGTGTGTGGAAGTTTTCATTGCAACAGATTTCTACATTGTCGATATGTATCTGAAATTTCATTCTAAATGCTCTCACTCTCTCACTCACATATATATATATATATATATATATATAGAAAACTTAAAAAAAAAAGCTTATAGGTGACTTTGAATGTTTTACCCGACTACATACATGTTATGTCTGTGGCGGTATATCGAGCGGAATTGCAACAGACGAAATGTGGTTTGGGGTGGTTTTTTCATGTTTTTTTATTGCTATGGACATGTTATGTTTATGATGGGATATCGCCACGGACATGTTAAGTCGGTGGTGGTCTTCAGTCCTCGCCATAAAAAAAATTGGATGGTGTTGAGACTATAGGTGAAAAGATTGTTCATTTTCGCCCATAGGCATTGTATGGTGGCTTCCTATATATATATACACACACACATAATGTGATCATTTCCCTTTGGTACAAGGGCATCACAATTATTTATGACCATCCGATGTGTATTATATATCTTGGGTCTTCTATATAATTTGTTTTGAAATTTGAGCTTGGTCAACGAAAATCGTATATTAACAATTAAATTAGAGCCCTTCTCAAAAATTTCACTAAAAGATGTTGTTTTGATGCTCAGATATCCTCAAATTGATCATCTCGACATAAGATGCACGGACATGAGAAAAAAATGGATGTCAAGTTTTGAAAATAATACATCTTGTAACGCATTTTTGAACCTTTAATTTTCAAGGTTTTCAACTTTTCATAAATCTACTCGATCTACACCATTTTTGAAAACTTTAAATTTTATTATTAAAGATGAAAAATATTTTAAGGCTATCACAAAGATTTCCAGTATTATAACCACATTTTTCGCTTTACTTTGATTGTTTAGAGCGTCAGTTCTATACAAACTGCACCGTATTTTTTATATATGGGCAGCTGGTTTCCCATTGGGAAAGGCAGCCAATCCAAAATTATAAGGAGGAAAACTAAAAGAAAAGTGAATAGAGAATGCACACAAAAAGATAAAGAGTGAAAAGCTAGGAACCGTTTGCTTTCCTTTTGTGTTTTCAGAAGAAAATTTTTAAAATTTTTTGAGAGACATTATTGAGCATTTTACATATTTGGGACTATTCCAACTCATATCATATAACACGTATTTTGAAATTGAATCAATAACATGTTAAATAATCCATCTGTTATACATTCAATAAAAATAATGCATCTATTGTAGGAGGCATTCATATACAGGATACTGCATCCCAAAGGTCACCCTTTTGTTATTATATGAGGAACCCAGTTTTATTTTTGCAATGGATTTTAAGACTTAATTTTTAAAGATACGTAATCTCTAACATAGAGATTATGAATATGAAAAAATAAACTAATTTTAAAACCTAGAAATAATAATTCTAGGAAAAAAAACATTTGGACCATTAGTTTCCATTGTTTTTAGATGAAACACTTATTTGCAGATGGACTGCATATGCAGAAATACTGTCCAACCCGCATGGAACAATTTTCTTTATTCCAGACCTATATCTACTTGGAGAAGCAATGGCCTGTTGGAGGCAATGGCTTTTAGTCTCTTCCTTTAAAGAAACAAATCTTATTCAAACTTAAGTTTCTATATGTTCAAAATATTTTTGAATTTATTAGCCGATCTCAAATAGTTGGAAAAAATCTGACCTTTTAACCACTTATTGATTCTTTCAAAATGTCCTTTAAACACTCCCTAATTCCGACTAACACAAAGAACCAAAATCGATCCGACTAACACAACCATAATCCATTCTTACAGGTGCTTCTTTCTCCATACACCCTAACCGGAAACCAAAACCGATTTCCGCATCCAAAGAAAGTTGAAATACAAAGAGATAAAAAAGAAAAAAAAGTTAATGATTATTGTTATTATTATTGATATGTAAAAGGCCTTCATCAACCACGAGCACCTACACATACAAAACAAAAATAACAAAATAAACCCTGGTTTTGTAGAGAGAGAGAGAGATCAGTCAAGATACTAACCGGGGCCGCATTTGATTTCACACTTGCGCTCGCAGCGAGCTTGTAGGCGTTCTGCAATTCATAAAGTGAATTCATAAAGTCTAAGCTTCTATTCTCACTTAATATATTAAAAAACCATTAACGATTTTAAAAATGGGTAGGAGCATGTCATCCTCACTGAAAGGTTTATCATTGAAATTCCAACAAAAAAAATAAATGTATAGAAAAATAAATTATTTAAAAAGAGCAAAAAAAACAAAGGAGGTTTATAGAAAATAAGGGCTTACGATTCTTCTGAACACAGGCAGTGGTACAGGCATCATAGCACCAAATAGGCTCATCCGCTCTCCCCATTGTTTGAACAGACAGTATTACCAGAGCCACCAAAAAGAACACCTCCACTTTCTTCATCTCTATACGTCTCTCTCTAAAAACCAACTGATTTAAATCTCTATGCTGAATTGCAGTCTCTATTCTCTCTCCTCCATCAAAGCTTCATACTTTACTCTTCTATAAAGTAAAGTCCAGGTGGGGAGAATCAATCAGATCCATGGGTGGGACTGCCTGTTTGTCTCTCTCTCTTTAAGTTTGATAAAGCTCTGACATAGTCAATGTGGTTTGGACACTTGCGATCATGAACGCCCGATGAAACGGCGGACGGTAGTGTAGATAAAAGCATATGCTCGGAACAAAACAACCTTGCCATTTTTCTCGAACTTATTGACACGTTGTAAGTATTTGTAGCCTCTTTAATTCTTAATGTAAATGGTTTCGTTGTATACAATCTATATACAATCTTAAAAATATATATATATATATATATATATATATATATATGAAACTATTTACCTTTGGTACAAAGTGGTCACAATAAATTTTGATCATTGGATTTAAAATTGAATTGTGGCATTTATTTTTTTGATCAAGCTCAAAGTTCAAAATAAATTTTTTCAAACTTTGTGATACACCCAAACTATTCCAAAAGTAAATGGTCTTATATATCATCCCTTTTGGTATAAAATCGTTACTCAAATGTTACAGTTTAAAGGAAAAAGTTGATATAAGGGTGAAGCCCTAAATAATCAAATTAAGGTGCACTCCAAATTTATACTAGAAAAGGTTATTTTGATATTGAAAGACCATTAGTTCGATCATTTTGATTTCGCGATGTATGGACATAAAAAAACTAGATTTCAAATATGAGAAATAATTCATATTGTAATGTGTCTTCTAGACCGTAAATTTTCAATATTTTCAAGTGTCATAGATATATTTGATTCCGACTATTTTTTAATATTTAAATATAATAATTAGAGTTGAAAATAAATTTTCAGGCCATCATAAGGATTTTTTATGATGAAACAACATATTTCGACATTATTTGAAAGTGTTATTTTGATTGTTTGGGGCCTCAGCCTTATAAAAACCCCAACCCGATTTAAAAGATCCCAATCAAGGTTTAAAAAAACACTCGGATTGGCCACCCAAAAAATCATGTTGGATTAGTAGATCAGAGATTTGGATAGGAAAATCGGTCACATCCGCAAGAGCCGGTAATGTAGAGGATGGGTGGTTTATATAAGATTTTCATAACCCTGCACTTTGAGTTCTCCTTGAAATATAAGTAGGAAGAAGAAGTATGTTGATTTTTTTTAAGGAAAAAAATTATATAAAGGTGAGGCTCTAAACAATCAAATTAAGGCGTACCTCAAAAGTTCGCCAAAAGGATATCTCCTTGAAATATAAGTAAGAAGAAGTATGTTGTTTTTTTTTAGGAAAAAATTTATATAAAGGTCAGGCTCTAAACAATCAAATTAAGGTGTACCTCAAAAGTTCGCCAAAATGATTTGTTTTGATATTGAAAAACCTTTAATTCAATCTTCTCGACATCAAGATGTATGAACAAGGGAAAAAATTGATTTCAAATCTTGGAAACAATGTATCGTGTCATGTATTATCTTGACCGTTACTTTTTAGGAATTTTCTATGTTTATAGATCTGCTTGATCTACATTATTGTTAAAAAATTTATATTATATAATTAGAGATAAAAATAAGTATTCAGACGATCATAAAGATTTTTGATACTGAAACATTATGTTTTGGTACTATTTGAAGATGTTTTTTACTTTAATTGTTTAGAGCCTCGACTTTATACAAACGACTACTTTTCTTTTATGGCTTCAACATATGTAGTCTTCGATTACGTACATCATGTAGTAATTTGATAATGGAAAGGTTCTATACTTTCCCTACAACATAGAAGATACATACTCCCCCCATCCAACTATCCAATTGAGATCAAGTGAGCCACTGATCGTTTGATCTATAGACCCGATACCTTTGACCATTTTATTTTTAGTTTTTTTTATAAATTATATGAAAATGAAATTTGGTAGGTTCCTTATTCTCAATGGGACGAACTTAAAAAGACTATTAAAAATAATTTTCAAAATACCTCTTGAATATTTCAAAAATATTTTGGTCATTTTATTTTATTGGGAATATGAAACTCACCAAATTTTTTCTTGTGATAGTGTGTGCCTTCTTCAACTCTTATGCCTTTAAAGGAGATAAATGTTCTCCCTTTATATATACACACAAACACGCCCACGGTATTTTCCTAGGGGTGGCAACGGATAGACCAAATAAAAATTATAGGACCCTGAGCCAACCACCTGAAGTTGTCGGATCCGGACCCAATTGGACTTTAGACCTTACCGGATCTTAGACCTTACCAAAAAATAAAAGGGAAATTATTATAAATAAACCTAGCCCACACTCTTTTTTTTCAAATTTGGGCTTTTTTTTACCAAAATAACTTTTGTGGTAGTCATATTACTGTAAACATAAATACGGTAAGGAGTTGAAGCATTATTATGGCACTCGAAATTTAGTAATAGTATCGCACCCTATAAACCCTACCCTATCCGAAACCCTTGTTTCTTTACAGTTCTGTTTGTATTTATCTCTCTAATTCTTTTTATATTTATCTTTTCTACCTCTCTATTTTTTTATATTTTTAATATCTATCTCTTATTTCTCTCTCAAAATCTTTTATCTTTCAATCTTTATCTCTTTGGAAGTTTAGAATGGGAAAGAAGAGATAAATATTAAAAAGAATTAGAGAAAGGAAGATGTGGTAAATATAAAAACAATTAAAGAGAAAAAAGAGATAAATACTATCTAAATCTTTCTCTTTGACCGTTTAAAGAGAAAAAAGAATAGATAAATATTAAAAAGAGTTAGAGAGAGTGAGAAGAAATAAATATAAAAAGAATTAGAGATATAAATATAAATAGAACCTTAAAGGAGAAAAGGAACTCCTTACGGTACTTAAAGTACAATAATGGTGCTTCACTGTAATACTACACCAAAAATTGAAAAAAATGGTGTGGGTGAGGTTTATGAAAGTTGAG